TATTTAAATTATTTATATTCATTTGATTTATTTTTGTATTATTTCATTCATTGAAATCTTCATTGGCCGTTAAATGTTATCGTTCATAGCGATAGCTGCCCATGATGGGCGTTCATTAATTGAAATTCAAATTAATCGATAAATGCGCTTCACTTCCGCATTGCTTCCAGCTAAAGCAGTGGCGCATGCGTTACAGCTGCACGTGCAAGAATCGTGACAGAATTGGCAATTCGTCAAATGCCATCACTAGATAACTGTGCAAGTCCACCAAACTGTGTAACTAAGAAAGCGTGCACATGCTAAGCTGTGTGTATGCGCACGTGTGTGCGTGAGGGTGCAACAACTGTTACAACATTCTGACACATCACAGATGCTTCGTTAGGCTACAGTTAGCTAACGTTGACGTCAACGGGAAGCTATTGTGACGCCAGCGCAGTAGCAGCAGGCAGCAGCAGTTGCATCGGCGACAATAATAATTGATTTTGATAACAGCCAAGTTAATTTTACCGTCAAACAGCTTACCTCTGCCCACAGCTCACACCCCTCACTCCGCACGTCCAGCGCCAGCCAAGCTGCTAAACATTTGCCCACTCCCACTAAATACAAATTGCCGTTGCGGCTGATAAATTACACTAATCGCTGTGCTACGACGCCAGCGGCGACGACAACATCGACATATGTACATGTATGTATGTATGCATGCCTCTATATGTATGTGTGTCTGTGTATAGCTGTATTTGTTTTTGCATTGTTTGCGTGTCTCGATAAATCTTCGCTTTCGGCTCCGTCTCTCCCTTTCTATCGCACGCCAAGCACGACTTGAAAGCTCGCTAAACAGGAAAGGAACACAAAGTGCCGTAAGTGCCGTTATTGAAATTCGACCGATTCTATGCATGCGCGCAAACACACAGAGCGAGAAACATTTTAAATTGATTTGTTTGCGACTGCAGAAGTTGATAAGTTGCTACTTGGCCTCGACTGTAATTTTCCAAATAACTTTTGCCAAATACGTTGTATTTGAATATTATAACGTATGCATATACAAATACACTGCCAGCGAAAAGTTATTGCACGCACTGGCTGTGCTACTGCTGATAAATTATCTGATAATTTATCAACACTTTCCTTGCCGCCCCCTCCCGCAAAACAACTCTTTTACAAACTCCAAAAAGTATGCTATTTTTTATATGATGAGCTTTGCTGCTTAATTAAATGAATTCATTACGCAGCTGTAATCAATTTGAAACCAAAGCAGTTCAGAAGGTAAATACCAGGGCTTTCCTAGATATCCCCAACATGCATGAAGTAAAGTCAAGTTGTTGGGCGCATTTGATGGGATTTTGATGGGTTTTCGGGCTGTGTCCTTTTCTCATTATCTCAGCCGTTGTCCAAATAGTGTCAGCATGAAAGTTCAAACTCGAATTCGGAATCCGAAGCCTGAGCGTTGAACATAACGAAGTAAACTGCACGCCAACTGGTCCCAACTACAGCGAATCGATGCTACCCTTTTTGTTCCTATTCATTCCGAAGTATTCCCACCAAGAGGTTGGCTTTGGTGCGCTTCCAGCCGCAGCAGGTGCAGCCGCCGAATCTGGGGCTGCTTGACTGACGCCTGCATTGGCTGTCGTGGACTTGGATCCCTCACGCTTCAGGGCGACCGCGGATCGGGATCGCTGGGCCGCTGTATTGGCGACGGGCTTCACTCGCGACACAGATTCCTTATTCCCGGTGCCGATATTGGTGACCGCACTCGTCTGGATGGTTGCGCTCGATTGCTGTGGTGTTGGTGCCAGGCTCTCACTTCCATGGTTCCGCCGGCGTCTATCGCCGCCGAACAGTTTACCCAGGTATGGCATGCACATGACTTTGAATGTTGGGCGTTGGCTAAACAGAAATTTAGATTTTCGTAAAAGGTCGAAATGTTAATTTAGTTCGATCTATTTATCGTATGCCTTGTATGATGTAATCTGAAATCGTTTTCATCTGTCAGCTTAGGTTGTTGATTGCTAGCGCACGGCTTACTGTGACAGGCAAGCTGAGGGCGAGAAAGAGAGAGAGGGAAAGAGGTGTGAGAGAAATATGGAAACGGAGAAATATAGAGAAACTAAAAGAAATATAGAGAAAGAAGAGATAGGGATGCACAGAACAGGACGCAGGAAGTGGAACATACAGAGAGAGAGAGATAAATAAAGAAGAAGAAGAGAAAGAAGAAGAAAGAGATCATAAAGAAAGATAAATAAAGAAAGAAAAGAGAAAGAGAGAGAGAGAGAGAAAAAAAAACACATAGTGAGAGCGAGGAAGAGGAAAACCAAAGGCCTAGCGAATCTAACAGACTGAAAAAGAGAGGCGATAAAAAACTAAGAGTCTAAAAAGATATAGAAACTGGGAGAGAAGGGAGAGGAAAAAAGAGGGATTGACAAACAGACAGACAGAGAGGGAAAGGGAATAATTATCAGGGAGAGGGAAAACAGACAAACAAAGAGCGAGAGAGCCATAGAGAAAGAAAAAGAAAAACTCAGGGACTGAGAAAAGGATTGAAATTGAGGGAGAAGTTAAAAAAGGAAGAAAAGAAGAAAATGGTAGTAAGAGACGATTTATAAATAGAACATTGAGTAAACATAAATAGAGAATTTTCGATCTTGTGAAGACAGAGCCGAACCACTGTGCAGCTGTTGCCGCAGCCATCGCTGGGGGGCAGGCAGCGCTATTTATAGACGCGTTGCATCCGCAGCGTCTGTGCCTCGGCGCCTTTGTGCATCTGTGCTGCAGCAGGCACAATGCGTAGGTTAGTATCTTACGAATCGGCGTGCAGCATCGATGGCTTCACTTGGCGTACGGCGCATGAATCAGCCGCTGGGCATCCGGGTCTGCTGCTGTCGCATTTGTACCTGCATCAACTTTGGCTTTGTGCTCTCGCCGGGCGGCCTGCTCAAGCTGATGCAGCTCGGCCTGGCCACGCTGTGCGAGGGACTGCTGATACGCTACGGCGTGCCATATGCCGATTCCATTGGCCAGGCGCTGACCAGCTTCTTGGCCACAACGGGCCACTGCTTCACCACCACGGGCATACTGCTGCTCTGCTATTGTTTCTCGGACAAGTCCTATGGCCTCATACGTCAGTCCCTCTTTGTGAGTAGCCGCATTCTTGTATATCTAACTGTGTGTAGTCTATAGTCTTTGGCATTGGCAGGAAACACTGTTCCATGGCCTGGCCAGCTGCATGTACTTCAGCTCAGCCAGCTACATGGGCTTCGCCTGCGTTGTCTGGCTGCATCCGCAATTTCTAGTACGTCCCGGCTTCTGGGCATATCCGGCCATGACTGCCGCCTACGTAAGTATTGGCCATAGCTTAATTTGAATATACATAT